GGAAAGAGGATGTAGACTATCCAAGTTCTATCTACATCTGCTCTTACTAAGTGCAGCAGTGGCCACACAGGAGCCTTACTTTTGTCTTAAGCTGTCTTCCAGCAGTAACAGCTCTGCTTTATGTCCCTGGACCCCTTGAAAGGGTCCCCAGTAGGGAAGCTTTGGTTTCCCTAAAGCCATCCCTATTTCTAAATTTTCTTTGAGCCCTTGCACCCACCTCCTGAATGCTTCCTTTTTTCTATGGCACTTGATGTGTTCCTTCTTTTGCCAAGCTGCTCTCCTGAAGTGTCTGGTTGTTCTCCTGCTTATTGGTCTGGCCAGGTCTTGTGTTTGGAACACGCTTTTCTGAAAGACCAGCTGTACTGAGCTCTGCTGCCCTTGAGTGTTGCTGCCCATGGGACTACCGCTAAATGTCCTGCAAAATCTTCTCCCACTATTTCACTGCAGCCAAGGCTGACACTGGTTTTCACATCCCTTATCAGCACGGCTTCTTTTGCAAGGACCAGATTCAGATGAGCATCACCTTTGTTGGCCTGACACCTGTGCAAAGAAGTTCCCACAAGAGACCCCAGACACCAGCTGGACAGTAGGCATCCTGCTATGCTCCCCTTCCAGTGAGTGTCAGAGCCATTAAAGTCCCCAATAAGACCTGAGGTCACGGATCTGGAGGCTTCCTTGGGTTGCCTAAATAAGCCTTTCTCCATTTTCTAATCCTGATTGCAGGTTCTTCTCCTACCAGGATGTCACACTAACAGACCTCTCTTCTCACCTTCACCTACAAGGGCTCACCAACCTGTTGCACATGCCATAGAGGAGCTCCATACATAACACAAGCTCCTGCACATGGATGGCATCCCCCTCCTAATCTTCCTGGCCCATTTCTCCTGAAAAGCCCCTATGCACCATGGCAGGAACACGAGCAGTGCGAGCTGTCCCACCACACCTTGGACCTTATTCATTCCGTCAATATCAAAACTCTGTGATGTCACATTGGAGTCCAGTTCCTCCTGTCTGTGCTCCAGGCTGAGGGCATAGGTGCACTGTTGGGCTGCAGCACCTCAGCCTTGGAACTGGTGCAAAGCTCAAACTTGTCACAGGCAAACCTGGTACCAAGTGTTCAGGACCTGAAGTGTGCAAATGCTGTGCTTGAGACCAAAGACGTGCCGGAAGGGATGGCAGGTGGCAATGAGAATGCATCAAGAGAGGAAAACCTGCTTCCTGCAAGGCCAGGAAAGCAGGACTGGGCTCTGTAGCCCTGGCAATAGAAGGTTTTTCTATCTGTAGTGTCACTGAAGCCCCTGAAGTCCTCTGGTTGAGGTGCTGTAGATCTCCAGGAGGACAAGGTGCTGCTGAAAATGTCCTTGGCTTTGAACATGCTGTGATCCAGGAAGACTGTGACAATCATTCACCTGTTCCTTGATTGTATCATCAAGGGGCTGGGGAAATGATTCTTGAAAGAAGAACTAGCAGAGTTAGGGAGCAACCAAATGCTTTCAGCCCCCAGTGTGATGAGCTTCCTGTTCATGAACTGCTCTGCATCAACTGGATGAAGATGGCCTCGCCTGTGCCTCACTGCACTGGTGGGATTCCATTTCTGGCCAACAGAAACCAAATCTTCATGAGTTGCCATGGAGGCTTGGGCAAGGGCATCAAATCTGTCTGTAACACTGTCTGGGATGTCTGTCACACATCCACTCTGAACAGGAATGGCTTTCCCATAGGTCAAGTACTCTCCCTGAAGCCACATGCAGTCATGCTACTGCGTGGGCATCTCATGTAGCACTACAGGCCTGTATTTGGCTACTTGGAAGCTGCCCTGAATTACGTTAAGCAGTGGGGGATGTCCATGAAAGAACTGCCAATACAGTCAACGGAGATCTAGGAAAAAAAGTTGATGGAGAAGAGGAAGCGAGGACTTAGCTCCATTTGGTCAGCTGACTACCCTTGTAGGTGCTGTGGACATAAGGAGAAGGAAGGTTTTATTTATCCTGAACATAAACATCTGCTGTCATTTCCATCTACCAGAGGAATCCCCCATCAGGCTCCAAGATGGTGAACCCAGATGTGGCCTTGCCTCTCAGCTTTGCTCCATTGGAGCCTGGAGTCACCTGCTCATATCTTGGGCAAACTCTGGTGTCACCTTGAATGTCACCAGGTGTTCCCACCTGAACAACTCACTCAATCTCCATTAATTAGCATGGCAGCTGAGACTAGCAGCTCACATGCAGGTGCATGTTTTGTGCACATGTGAAGTGAGGCAGGGGGAATCCCGCCTCCTGTGGGTTGGTGGTGTGCAGGAGAGGGAGGTGAGTCCTCTTCTAGCCCAGGGACTTCAAACCCTGGATGGGATGCCTCGAATGATTCAGCTGGATCCCTTCCTGCAGCAGGGGTAAAGGAGATCCATCCTTGTCCCTGTCTGGTTGTCGTGTCTAATGATGGGAAAAGGAAAGGCGATTCTCAGGCCCAGCTCTGTCTTTGACAGGAGAAATGACACAGCTAGAAAAGTGTCCCTCCCCAGCTGAGGGAGGGAACATCAGTGATTCCTTCAGCCTGTTTCACACCAGGCTCCCCTGAGCCCCAAAAACATCTCAAGGGAGTCCAAAGGGGGGAAAAAAAAGAGATGCCTTGGGCTGGTCCTCTGCTGCTGAGCTGGGCTGGGCTCCTCGGATGAAGGGAGATCATAGCAAGTGGGCAGTGCTGCAGAGAGACAGCTCTGCCCAGGAGCAGCTCCTCTGCAAAGCACAGCAGGGCTGAGGGCACTGCCTGCAGGCACTGAGGGGAGAGGAGGGGAGCAAGAGAGAGCTTAAAGACAGTCTGGGGTGGGAGGAGAGAGGAGAGCTCAGCTGAAGAAAAATATCCACAGCCTTTACCAGGGTAAGTCTCTGGCTGCAGGGCAATGCAGCTGCTGTTCCTTCAATGATCTCCTAAAGCTGGCACATCCCAGAGCCTTTGGGATCAATCAGAAGGACTCACAGTTTCTTGAGCATAGAGAAAAAGGACGTGCTTTGGAGCACACCTTCCTTCTGCATCATCAGAGGGACAAGGCATGTCAGCTGACTTCAGGAGGGGATGATCGCTGTGTATGAAGCTGAGTGAGCAACAAGGGGTGCCCAGATCCATCCTTCCTAGCAAGGAACCTGTAACAAAGGGGGGCTGTGTGCCAGGGCACGGACTTTATCTCCTGCAAGGGTCAGCACTCTGCCTGCCCAGGGAGCTGCCCACAGCAGTGCAGGCAGAAGCAGCGGGTGGAAGAATCAGCTCCTGGCAGAAGAGATTGTCCTTCTGTCAAGACGGTGCTGCCTGGGTCAGGGCTGCTCACAGCTAAGGATCATGCCAGGACTTTTCCTTTTCAAGCCAAAGGTCAAGGCAGGGATTATTATAAATATAAACAGCTTTCCCCATCTTTGTGTGCACCCAGCATTAGTTTTGATGGGCACATGGTGTTTCAGTGGCCATCTGTCATATTGATGTGCACCCAGCGATTCTAAAACCTTACACTTCAAATGAACCTTGAAAGAGGGAGGAAGATTCAGGAAACCAAGGCAAAAACTGAAAACTGAGGGCAGCACACTAAAACAGACATAGCAAAGCTACTCAAAAAGATAAAGATTTAATGCAAAACTAGCAATACCTACAAATACAGGAAATTATTTCAAAAACTTGGCCTTCAATAAGTCTCAATAGAAAGGAGGATGAAGGAAGTCAAGGTAAATACTAAACAAAAGAGTGGCAGCAGACTGAAACAGCTGTGGAAAGACAATGTAAAAAGCCAGCATAAAGACACAAACCAAGACAGAATGACTACAACAGAAAGGAAGACCAAGAAATGAATGTCAAAAAGTGAAAAACCAAAAGAGATTAAAGAAACAGAGGAAAAAAAAAAAAAAAGAATAATACAGGTAAGTACTAAGGAATGACACAAAACTCTTGCAGACAACAATATATGAAATCCTCAGACTTCATCTGAACACTGAAATTGGGAGGAAGATTAAGTAAAGGGCAAAACTAATAACCCACGGCAGCAAACTAAAACAGCCGTAGAAAGACAATGTAGAAAGCACGGCCACTCTGGAAACCGTTTGACTTAGAAAGACAACTTAACTAGGGAGGAAGATTAAGGAAGTCAACGCAAAAACTGAAAATCTGACGGCAGCACACTAAAACAGACCTAGACAGACAATGCAAAAAGCTGCAGATCTGTAGCAAAACTAGCAATACCTACAAATATAGGCAACGATTTCCAAAACTTAGCCTTCAATAAGATCATGATGACATGATGAAAGGGGCAACGTGTGTTTCATCGTCTACAAGTTGGGGTGCTGAGACCTAGAGAAAGAGAGAAACCTTTAGGGGCCTGCAGTGGATCCCTCTTCTCGCAGCAATGTCTGGTAGTTTATCAGGGTAACATGGGAGTGTGATCACCCTTCACCTGAGAAAGGTGCCAGCCCAGGGCCACTGGGAGCAGGAGAGAGGGATACACCAGCTCCCCTCACTCTGCACTCAGCTATAGGCAGCCCTCTTGCCTTGCAGGACTCACTCTGTTGTCCCCAAGGGCGGCAGAGATGCTGAGGGGTTCTGACATCCCAGAACACCCTCCTCCTCAGATGGGGACGGCTGTTCAAAACCCCAGGTCTTTCAAACTGGCTTCTGTCATCCTGCTTCCTTATCACTGAGAGTGCAGATGCTAAAAAGCCCTTCCGTGTTAGGAGCAGTTTAATGTGCAAAAGTCAAACACCAGGTCCATGAACACAGTGCTGCAGGGCAGGGCTGACTCCTCAGCAGGCAGCAGGCAAAGACCCTGCTCCTCACAGCACACTCAGCCACCACCAACCAGGGTTGCAGTCTTTGATTTGAGCAAGGTCTGCAAAAGAAATAGGAGATTTGTGAAGCAGGAGAAATGTGTATTAGAAATAGCTTTGATTTTTCACATATAAATCTGCCCTAATTTATCACCATCATTTCCTCCTAAGGCAGTGCCACATGCCCACAGACAATGTCCAACAGCAGCTCCATCACCCAGTTCCTCCTCCTGGCTTTCGCAGCCCCACGGCAGCTTCAGCTCTTGCACTTCTGGCTCTTCCTGGGCATCTACCTGGCTGCCCTCCTGGCCAACGGCCTCATCATGACTGCCATAGCCTGTGACCACCGCCTCCACACCCCCATGTACTTCTTCCTCCTCAACCTCTCCCTCCTCGACCTGGGCTTGATCTCAACCATTGTTCCCAAATCCATGACCAGTTCCCTCTGGGACACCAGGACCATCTCCTACTTGGGATGTGCTGCACAGGTTTTTTACTTTCTCTTGTTCATCTCCTCTGAGTATGCCATCCTCACCATCATGGCCTATGACCGCTATGTGGCCATCTGCAAACCCCTGCACTACGGGACCCTCCTGGGCAGCAGAGCTTGTGTCCACATGGCAGCAGCTGCCTGGGGCACTGGATTTCTCAATGCTCTGCTGCACACTGCCAGTACATTTTCACTCCCACTCTACCATGGCAATGCTGTGGACCAGTTCTTCTGTGAAATCCCCCGGATTCTCCAGCTCTCCTGCTCAGATGCCTATCTTAGGGAAGCTGGGCTTATTGTGGTTACTGTCTGCTTAGATTTGGGATGTTTTGTTTTCATTGTGTTTTCTTATGTGCAGATCTTCAGGGCTGTGCTGAGGATCCCCTCTGAGCAGGGGCGGCACAAATCCTTTTCCATGTGCCTCCCTCATCTAGTTGTGGTCTCTGTCTTTATCAGCACTGGCATGGTTGCCTACTTGAAAACTCCCTCCTTCTCCTCCCCAACCCTGGACCTGGTGGTGTCATTTCTGTACTCGGTTTTGCCTCCAGCAGCAAACCCCCTCATCTACAGCATGAGGAACCAGGAGCTCAAAGACGCACTGAAGCAGCTGATTCTACCAGCTGTCTCTCAGCAGCATTAAACTGCCCCTGTCACTGCAGTCATTTCCAGTTCATCTTGGAACCTCCTTCGCTTTTGATATCTTTTTGGCATCTTTTTTTTAATAGTGCTGTTTCTACATCCGCTACACCTCCCCAGAGTTATGAATACTACACATATGACCTGCAGATCTCTGTACATGCTTGCTCCACATAAACTTCCCCAACTTGAGTCATGTGCATTGGACTTCATCTTGATCTGTGGCTATCTTTGTGTTGTTCAGGTCATATTAGAAACATAGAATAATAGAGTCATTAAGGTTGGAAAAGACCTCTAAGATCATCACGACCAACTGACAACCCAACACCACCATGCCTACTAAACCATGTCCTGAAGTGCCACGTCTATATGTTTTTTGGACACCTCCAGAGATGGTGATTCTATCGCTTCCCTGGGCAGTCTGTTTCAACGTCTGACCGCTCTTTCAGTAAAGAATTTTTTTCTAATATTCAATCTAAACCTCCCCTGATGCAATTTGATGCCATTTCCTCTTGTCCTATCTCTAGTTACCTGGGAGAAGAGACCAACACCCACCTCATTAAAACCTCCTTTCAAGTAGTTGTAGAAAGTGATAAGGTCTCCCCACAGCCTTCTCTTCTCCAGACTAAACAGCCCCAGGTCCCTCAGCCACTCCTCATAAGACTTGTTCTCTAGACCCTTCACCATCCTCGATACTCTTCTCTGGACATGCTCGAGCACCTCAATGTCCTTCTTGCAGTGAAGGGCTCAAAACTGAACACAGCACTCCCGGTGCAGCCTCACCAGTGCCAAGTATAGGAGCACGATTACTTCCCTACTCCTGCTGGCCACAGTATTCCTGATACAAGCCAGGATGCCGTTGGCCTTCTTGGCCACCTGGGCACACTGCTGGCTCATGTTCACTGACTGTCCACCAATACCCCCAGGTCCTTTTCTGTTGGGCAACTTTCCAGACACTCTTCCCCAAGCCTGTAGCATTGCATGGAGTTGTTGTGACACATGGGGAGAACCTGACACTTGGCCTTGTTGAACCTTATACAACTGACCTCGTGCCACTGCTACAGCCTGTCCAGATCCCTCTGCAGAGCCTTCCTACCCTTGAGCAGATCGACAGTCCAGCCCAACCTGTTGTCATCAGCTCCCACAGGGCTATGTCCCTCAGGTACTAGATACCTCCCTCCGTGGTTGTCCACTTGCTTGGATAACACAGAGCATCTCCACTTTGTTGTCTCCAGAGGCTGAGGGCTTATTGTCTTTTTTGCAATGGCCTTGTCACCATCTCCTTCTCTGGCCAGAGATCCCAGCTGCTTGGCTTCCCTGACCTCTTCTTCCAAGCTATTGGCACTGTTGTCCCAGCATCTGAGCATCTAGGTGACAATGTGCTCACCTTGGCAACAGCTGAAATCCTTCCACATATCTTGCTCGTACTTAGGGTTGGGGATCGGGTGACTGTCTCTGGCTCTGCCTCCTACTTCTGCTCTTGTGATGGCCTTGTTTCATCATTGTCCCTTATGGGTGGAATCAATGTGTATTTTTTTTTCTGTGTAGGGACGACTGATACCATTACGGGCTGGTTTTCAGGGGTAACCGCAGAGCCTGTTGCAGGGGTTTGAGCAGCCACCGTGCCTGCCACGGGGGCTGCAGTAGCAGCAGCTGCTGGAGTGCCTGAAGAGGTTTTTGTGGGGGTTGGAACATCTGCAGTGTCTGTTTCTTTGTTTGCTCCCCTACCCCTTTAGAGCACTAAACATAGCTCAGCAGGCATGGGCCAGGCCCCAGCACGTTGCAGTGATTTTCAAAATATTTCTCTAGTTTGTCAGGTTTCTGCACTTGTTCAGGGGTGAGGTTCATAAGCACCGGAGGTGCCCACCATCCTAGGCATTTGGCTGTGATGTTCGACACACCGCACCACTCATAGCTATCCAGCCTTGGGGCAGATCTCTAGGTGATATTTTTAACAACTTGTTTAACCCTAAACAAGACCTGAAACCCATTCAGGAAACATAGCAATAGGATCATGTGGGTTTGAACATCCCTCGGATACTCAAAATTCTCAAAAGCTGTTGCGACCAGCCTGAAGCAGAAAGGAGGGGTGAAAGGGTGGGGGAAAGCATACCCCCTAGTTTTCCCCATAGATTGGGTTCGATTATTAATAAATTCTGAGCGATAGCATCTGAGGTATGGAAATGACCGCAATGCTGTATACATATACAAACCTAACCTCATGCCCAGGGATCTTATCCTATCATAAGTCAATCTGACACAGTACAACAAAATCATGGTCCTGATCCTTTTCCCAGAGGGCAAGAACAGCACCACAGGGAACACAGACAGCAAGTAAGAGTTTACATACCACAACCATGTGACCAAAGACAGCAACATTTTGACCAGTGACTATTTAACTCCTGTAATAAATGCATATAACAAATGATAACAAAGTTGTTTTAACACACTTTGGTCAGCCATACCATTATCCAAACACCACGTTGGGCACCAAAAGGACTGTTGTGGTTTGGCATAAGCCGGCAATAAAGGACCATGCATTCTTTCCATCGCCCCTCCCCCTGCTGGGGTCAGGAGGAAAACTGGAAGAAGAAATGGCAAAACTCATGGGTCAGAATAAGGACAGTTAACAGAACAGCAAAGGCAGCCATCAGTATGTCCTGGGTTTGGCCAGGACAGGGTTAATTTTCACCAGAATCCAGGAAGGGGCACAGCCGGGTGGGCTGACCCAACCCCAACCTGGCCAAACAGAGCCGGCTATTCC